TGCTCTCAGGAACACAATGCTTCCACTGACCAGCACTTCGCGAACGCGAAGAGCAATTCCACCTCGAACCCAGCTGACCACTTCCTTCTACGCGAATGCGATACCCTTCCCGTGAATGCGATGCTCAAACATCACCACCCTTCATGAACGCGGAGACTTCCTCGTGAACGTGAAGGCAAAATTCCATCAACCCCCACTGACTCTTCGCGAACGCGAGGGTCCACTCGCGAACGCGAAGGGTAAAATCCCTCTGCAATAGCTGAACAAAAACCTACAACTTTTTAACAACTTGAAATGATCCGTAGAGCATCCGAAACACACCCGAGGCCCCCGGGACCTCAACCAAAGGCATCAACATATCCTAAAACCTTATTCAAACTTGTACCAATCTTCAAAACACTTCAAACAACATCAAAACAACCAAAACACATCGGATTCAAGCCTAAGTTTCAAAAATCTTCCAAATTTCGCTTGTGATCAAAAACCCAACCAAAACACCTCCGAATGACCTGAAATTTTGCACACACATCCCAAATGACATAACGGAACTACTGCAACTCTTGGAATTCCATTCTGACCCTCAGATCAAAATCTCACTATCGAACCGAAAACTTCCAAAATTCAGCTTTCAGCATTTCAAGCCTAAATTAGCTACGGACCTCCAAAACACAATCCGAACACGCTCCTAACCCCAAAATCACCCAATGAAGCTAACAGAACCATCAAATTTCCATTCTGAGTCCGTCTTCACAAAGTTCCAACTACGGTCAACTTTCCAATACTTAAGCTCTCATTTAGGGACTAAGTATCCCAAAACTCTCCGAAACTCAAAACTAAACATCGCGGAAAATCAAAATAGCAAAAATAAACTTGGGTAAAGGAGTTAATAGGGGAACGAGGCATTAATTATTAAGACGACCGGCCGGGTCGTCACACATATACATTGAACCATAACCAGATGGCGTTATATATGTATATGGGATATGAGAAAAGGTTACAACGTTATATACGCACCACCACCTGATCAGCTGGTATACGTTGATGATTTTGCCCACAGTAGCCGAGATGATATGACAGGATGCCCTCAGAGGCTTGATGATGTTATGAACACATGTACCTATGAACGACATGATATTCATACACATATGCATGATACTATAAGTATTTCATGATTTACAGAGTTATTCAGACTTACAGGTTGAGTCATTTACTCTATATTTCTTCCATGTCTTTTATGTACTTATTTATGTGCCTTACATACTCGGTACATTATTCTTACTGATGTCCCTTTTGTCTGGGGATGCTGCATTTCATGCCCGCAAGTTCCGATAGAAAGGTCGAGAGTCCTCCAAGTAGGCTATCAGCTCCGCGGAAGATGTTGGTGCACTTCATTTGCTCTGGATTTGCTTGTTTGGTTAGTATGATTTTGACACGTGTTGTTTGGTATGTTGGGGTCCTGTCCCGACCTTTACGTTAAGTGTGTACTCTTAGAGTCTTGTAGACTGATGTCATGTATACAAATGCTTGTATGGCCTTACCGGCCTATGTTTTGAGTTTACAAATGATCATGCTGGCCTTATAGGCCCGTATATCGCATGTATAAGTTTTTATATCAGGTTGTATATTGAGTATTCCTCTATGTTTATTCTGGTTAGCCCATGATGGCCCGTTTGGCCCATTTTCCAATGAAAGTATAATAAGAAAGATATGTTGTGTTGGTACTCGATTAAGTAAGGTACCGGGTGCTCATTGCGACCCACAGGTTTGGGTCGTGACACTTCGAGTTCGAGAGATCATTCTCACTCAACTAGAAAGCCTAAGGGCTACCTTATTTCGAGTTGGAGCAGGTCCTCACTCAATCATAAAGCCTAAAGGCTACTTTGATTCGGGTTCAAACAAATCATCTCATTTTTGTATCTACATATTAGCCTAAGGGCTACCTTAACTCACGTTCGAATGATCATTCGGGGTCCATCGATCAGAAATGCTTGAGGACAGTACTTATTATCGGTCCTTGCCGTCTCAAACTCGAACATTAGAATATAACTACATGATCTTGTAAGGCACTTTGACCTTTGTAAAAGGGAAGAAAGTTTTTATACATTAAAAGTCATTTACAAGGGCAACACAGTGTGATGAAAATTCTTTACAAAAGCCAAAACTGCCTCGATAAAAACACAAAATATGTGAAATCCTAAAAGGCCTAGTCCTCTACGGGAGCGGCATCTTGACCCTCGAGGCCATCTCCACTTTCGGATCTGCTCAGGCTCTCAGAATCGTCGTCATCAGGGTAAGCTAACCCCCTAGCTTCAACTTCGAGCTCCTTAGCGCTCTCGATCTTGGCTTTAAGACCGAAGCCCCGAGCATGGATCTCCTCAAGAGTCTCCCTTCGAGACTACATTTGGTATGCTTGGCGACATAATGTGCTCGAACCTGAGTTGCCTCGGCGACCTCCTTTGCTCGGACCTAAGAAGCTCCGGCATCGACCCTGTAAATAGCCACCATTGCATCAACATTAGCCTTGGTTTCTTCGACCTCCAATTTGGCCGCTTCGAGCTTTGTGACCAGCTTCTCCCAGTTAGAAATTCCTGAACCCAACTGAGAATGGAGATTCTCAATTTTCTTAGCTTGCACCAAGGCTTTCTCTTTTAGGCTTCAGAGTTAGATTTTAGCTGAGGCCAGTTAGGCTCGGACAGTCTCCTTTTCTGAGGCAAGGCGATCCATATATTTCTTCCATTATTTAGCCTCAGTTTTCACTGCTTCTACTTCCTCACGGAGTTACCTGATCACATCGAGGTTTTGTTGGACCTGCAGGTTCGAACCATTGCCACCACGCCCAAGTCACTGTCACTAACTTCAAAGATTCTTCTTACTTTCTTGGCTAGTTCGGCGTGTTCTTTTTGAGCCATTTCTAGCTCAGCATGGAGGTCTTTAGCTTCCCTTTCTCTTTTCTCACTGAGAAGCTAAGGCAACTTTCCTCAATAAGCCCTCGGATCTCGGCCTCATTCTGACTCAGCTCCCCTCGGGATTGGAGGAAAGCCTCATGATGCCGTACCAAAGCCTAAAAACATAGATAAAGGAATTATATAAATGGAGAAAAGTCTAAATACAAAAATTGACATCGACAAGGAAATCTGGGATTACCCGATTTAGAGCATGTAGCGTTTCATTGAAAAGATAGGGTGTTTATACCTCATCCATCTTAGTTTGGTCTTCTTCAGTGACCAAGCATTAGAGATAGCTAGCCACCTCTACGGGGGTAGAAATAACCCGAGCATCCTCCGGGACTGAGATGATAATTTATCGCTTACGCCCGGGATCCACACTAGGGGCAGGAAACTGATTGGTCAGTTTAAAGCTCGAGGAAGCCTCACTCGAGCTCTTCCTCGGTACCTTCAAGTCACCCAAACTGGTGACATCTTCCACTCCAACAAAATAGCCATGAAAATGGTCTTCTGCTCCATGGACCCTTTCCCCGTGGCAAGTCTCCGCTGCTTGAGCTTCATATATCATCGACTCAGTGAATGATGGAAACGAGGGGGAATCGCTGATATCTATCACCTTAGGTAAATCTTTTACGGCACTGCCTTCATCTCGGGGAGCCTCGAGCATGGTTTCTACACCAGCATCAACTGCCTCCTTGATAGCCTTCTCATCTCGAGGCGAAACGTCTTCAGCTCTTTCTGGCATGGGGACTTCAGCCGAGGCTTCCCCCTCAATCTCATCAAGTCGAGATAGAGTAGTTTCAGCTTCCACTGGCATAGTAGTTCCTCGAATCTCGGTGCCAGCTCGCACACTTTCTTTACTGTATCAGCTCCCCAAAATTAGCCCTCATATATTGTTCTCAGAACCGACTTTCTATGCTTAAAAGTACTAGATTTGGGAATAAAAATCTATGGGAAATCATGAGAATAAATCAAAACTAGGTAAAAATTATTAATTTCAAAAGTTGGGATGAAAATCGTCTAAAAAATCCCCCAAATAAGTGGTCTAGGTCTCAAAAATGTGAAAAGTGGCTAAACCCTGATTTTAAACATTATTTATGCCTTGGGACTTTCTTTTTCGTGTTCACAAAGGAATTCCCACGTTCGATAAGACTAGTGATCATCAACCACCATGTTCGCAAAGCCCAACTCATGTTTGCATAAGGCAACTTCTAGCCAAGCGTTCACGTCCGCAATGTACCTAACGTGTTTGCAAAGGGAAAACCACATTGGCCCTAGAAGGTTTGGAAGTCTTCGCATTCGCAATCATAACATTGTGTTCGCAAAGAACAAATGTCCCCTGGACCCAACTCCTTCTACACGATCGCTAGACCACCGGCGCGACCGCGAAGAGCAATTTCCCCCAGCCCCAGAAGACACCAGTGATCGCGGTACTAGCTACGCGATCGCGATGAACTACCTGCCCCTAGCCCCATTCTTCTTATGCGATCGTGCCACAAGCTCCAGGATTGCGAAGCACTGTGAAACACCAGTAGATCATCTAGCTCAACAAGGCTAAAATTGATCTTAAACTAATTCAAATCTCACCCGAACCCCCCTCCTCCGGTGTTCACTACAAATATCTACAAAATTATGATAATATCATACGAACTCGCTCGTAAGATTAAAACATCAAAATAATATCTAAAATCAAGAATCAAGCATCAAAACTCAAAGATTTCAAAGTCCGTAACTTCAAATTTTTAACTTTTTAGACTAAGCTCCGAAACAGTCTCGGATACCTCGGGACCCCAACCAATATCGTACGAATCTATCTGAATAATCAAAATACCGATCCGAGGTCATTTACCAACAATATTGACTGTGGTCAACTCCAACCATTTTCAAGCTCAAAAATCATGTTTCCCTTGAAAAATCGTATTTAAACTTTTTGGAAGTCAAAATGGACCACGCATGCAAGTCATAAATCATCAAATAAAGATATATAAGGTTTCAAATCATATAATGATAATTTAGAACTCAAAATGACCTATCGGGTCGTTACATTCTCCACCTCTAAAAGAAACGTTTGTCCTTGAATGGACATTGAAATGTACCTGAACTGGTAAAAAGATGCAGATATCTATTCCTCATATTAGACTCGGACTCCCAAATAGCCTCCTCAGTCAGCTGGCCTTTCCAAAGCACTTTCATGGAATAAACAACCTTAGATCCTAACTTCCAAAACTGCCGATCTACAATAGCTATCGACTCTTCTTCATAAGTCAGATTCCCATCAAGGTGCACTATGTTGTAGTGCAATACATGGGACTTGTCTTTATAATACTTCCGAATCATAGAAATATGAAATAACGGATGAACCCTTGCTAGGCTAAGAGGCAATGCAAGCCTATAAGCAACCGCTCCAACTCTCTCTAACACCAGAAACATGCCAATATATCTCGGGCTCAACTTTCCCTTCTTTCCAAATCTAATCACACCCTTCAAATGCAAAACTTTCAAAAGTACTTTTTTTCCCCCGAAATCAATAATACAGGCCCTCAACATCCTCCAGGATCTTGATAGTCCACTCAGACTGGCCATCTGTCTACGGGTGAAATCTATTGCGGAGCTCCACCCGCTTGCCTAACTAATGCTGAATAGCTCTACAAAAGTGCAAAGTGAACTAAGTGCCACGATCCAAAATGATAGAAATGGGCACACCATGCAACAGAATAATCTCATTGATGTAGATTTGAGCCAACCTCTCTAATGTATAGGAAGTCATCAGCGGAGTGAAATACGCAAATTTGGTCAATCTGTCCACAATGACCCAAACAACATCAATCTTCTTCAAAGTCGGTGGTAACCCCACAACAAAGTCTGTAATAATGCGCTCCGACTTTACTCATGTATCACCAACCTTTGAGTCAACCCACGTAGTTTCTGATGTTCATACTGCACCTATTGGCAATTCAAACACAGCAAAACATGCCCAATAATGTCTTTCTTCATCTTCATCCACTAGTAATGCTACTTCAAGTCACGATACATCTTCGTGATACTGGATGAATAGAATATTGTGAGCTATGAGCCTCCTCAAGCATCAATTCCCTCAAGCCATCAACATTCGCAACACAAATTCGGCCATGAAGCCGCATAATACCATAATCCTCAATCACAGCCTTCTTTGCTCCACCTCTCTACACTATATCCTTCAATACCAACAAATGAGAATCATCAAGCTGGCGAAACTTGATGCGCTCCAACAAAGATGATTGTTCCACCACACAAGCAAGAACTCTACTAGGCTCAAAAATATCCAATATCACGAATTTGTTAGCCAAGGCCTAAACGTCCATAGCCAATGGCCTCTCCACTATTGGTAAATGCTAAACTACCCATTCATGGGCTATTGTACAACTCATAAGGTCAATGGTCGAAGAAGGACACGTCGAGATAAACTCCACAAGTTTAACCTGGGATTGGAGAAACAAATACATAGAGTATTTGAAGAACGGGAAGTTTCCCTCGGATTCAAATGAATCAAGAGCCATGTGCACAAAAGTAGCACAATTCACCTTGTCCAAATATGGGACCTTGTTCAGAAAGATATTTGATAGCCCGTTAGCAATATGTTTGGGACCAGGAAATACCGAATATGTTCTAAGGGAAGTCCACGAAGGCACTTGCGGAAGTCATTCTGGTGCCGAATTATTGGTCCACAAAATAATCAGAGATGGATACTACTGGATCGATATGGATAAAGATGCGGAAGAGTTTGTTCAAAAATGCGACAAGTGCCAAATACATGCACCAATGATTCATCAACCCAGGGAGCTACTCTATTCGGTCTTGTCCCATGGCCGTTCATGAAATGAGGGATAGACATCGTCGGTCCTCTTCCATCGATGCCAAGTAAGGCTAAATTTGTTTTGTTTATGACTGACTATTTCTTTAAGTAGGTCGAAGCACATGCATACCAGAAGATCAGGGAGAAAGAAGTCATCGACTTCATTTGGGATGACATTATATGTTGATTTGGAATACCATCCGAAATTGCATGTGATAATAGTAAACAATTTATTAGCAGCAAAGTGACCAAATTTCTCGAAGACCACAAGATCAAAAGGTTCTTATCAACACCTTATCACCCTAGTAGGAATGGACAAGCTAAATCGACCAACAAAACCATAATCCAAAACCTCAAGAAAAGGTTGACCGACGCTAAGGGAAAATGGAGAGATATCTTGACTGAAGTCCTTTGGGCGTATCACATAACTTTGAAGTCCAGTACCGGGACCACCCCATCCCCTTTAGTTTATGACACTGAAGCTTTAATACGGGTCGAAGTTAAGGAGCCGAGCATCAGATTCCGATATGCGACAAAGTAATCGAATGACGAGGCCATGAATACGAGCCTGGAGCTATTAGATGAACAGTGTGAAGTTGCCTTTATTCGATTGGCTCCCCATAAAGAACAGATTGAAAGGTATTACAATAGAAAGGCCAACCCTCTATATTTTAATATCAAGGACTTGGTACTAAGGAAGGTCACTTTAAACATTCGAAATCCAAATGAAGGGAAATTGGGTCCGAACTGGGAAGGGTCATACCATATTCTCGAGATCACAGGGAAAGGGTCCTATAAGCTCGGAATGATGGACGGAGAATTGCTATCGAACAATTGGAACGTAACTTATCTCAAATGATACTACTGCTAAGGTACGACCCTATTTCAATTATTTCTATTGTTTGACTAACACTTGCAGGTTATCAACAAGGAGCGGCATGAAGCCTTTAGGTCTGAAAGCACACGTTGTACTATTTTTCCCTTGAACTGTTTTTGTTCCAATTGGGTTTTTCAGCAAGGTTTTTAACGAGGCAATAGCGGATTGTGCTAACTTAGAATCGAAGGCCTATCACAAATCGGTGTCAAAGACAACACTAACAGTATCCGAGGTTCCTCTACAATCAACCTCAAATACTGGGGGGCATTGCCCTTGGATGTCAACCATGTTGCGAGGAAATTACTTCATAATAGAGGGGTCTCAATAGGTGAGATTTGTAAGGGCCAAACAGTCTAATGAACCGTGCCCACATAGTTGCTCGATCCCTAGTACAAAATATGTATGCATGTGTAATTATTTTTCACAAGAATAAAGAGATGTATTTTTCATTTCCATTATATCATGTCTTAGAAAAAGTTTTTCTACTTTACAATTCCGTACTTTTGATCTATTATGGAAATGAGCTCAAGGGACGATCACAACCAGAGTTCGGATAATCAGCCCCACACTCGGGACTGCTGTTCGAAAAATAAAATTCGTATAGATTGAACTATTGAACGTCGAGGGCATAAGACCTTTTAGGCAACCCTCGAATTTTAGAGGCCACGACCATACCCACTCGGGGACTGTTGTCTTAGGCAGGCCTGGATAACTCGGGGAAACAAGCTCACTAGGCACCCGAACTAGAAGGCTATGGCCAGTTTAACATGGTTCGGAGACGTCTGAAATCCGTAACAAAATAGGCCTTCGATAAAGAAATACTTCTTTCACAACCGGTTCTAAAGGATACCCTCGGAAAAATATTAACCTTAAGATATTTTCAGGAGAAAGCTTTAGTAACTTCGAACCCCGATAATGCCTTAACCCAGAAAAGAAATAAAGGCGAGGTCTTATTCGAACCATCGAACTAAACCTTATTATTTCATGCTAAGGCATTCAAACCTTTGTAAATGTGAATGATAAAGCAAAGGAAAATATTTGAGAGCTGAAAAGGGTAGAAAGCCTTATATATATACATAAATGATCTTTTTACAAAGGCTAGAATGACCAAATACAAAATTTACAACGGCCAAAATGGCCTCGAAAAAGACACAAAAGAAAGCAAAAATACAAAGGCCTGCTTCGTGTTACACCCCATGTTTTCGTATGAGCACGTACGCCATAAATAAATTGATATAAGCTCGAAAAAGAGATATTACATTCTGCATTTTCGTACGTTAAAGTTTCATCGTAAGCTAATCACGTAAGTTCGGGAATGAGATTATTTTGAGATTATAAACATTATGCTATTCCAAACAAGTGATGAGTAAGTTCGTGAAAGTGAGAGGGTAAGCAAATCAAAGAAAATCAATTTTCATCAAAGGTTGACATGTTGGAATACAATACAACCCGAAATAAAATACTCGGTACTTATGGACTAGTGCCATACAAGGTACCATATGACCGGGATAGTAAGGTGTGTTAAAAGTGAGTAGTATTTTAATTAATTTGAGATAATCCTTAATTATGTGAATTATTGGATAATGGGAGAATTAACAAGTTAATTAATAATTAATGGATGATGAATTAAAGTTTTCGGATAAAGACTAAGACTAATACGTGGCAGCCGCATTCATGAGTCATTAAGTGACTATTGAACAATTTTGCAAGGTGGCACTCTTTAAAGAAATAATTGAAAAATGGCTTCTTAAAGTCAAGATTCGCAAAGATAAGGAATTCATAAAAAGCCATAAGACTCTAACGTTATTGCTTCAGTAAGCATCTTACAAAAGTTGTGATCAAATTCACAAAGTGATTATATGGAATTTGCTACAAAAATTCATACGAGATTTCATAAGGTAATAGCAACGGGATTTTGCGATTCTAAGGGAGTATGGTGCAATCTTCCTCAAAAGTATCATATGGATTTTCCCTACTCCGATCTTGCCGTCACGTGTTTTGTCAAAATTAACGTGTGTTAGAGGTATTGTCAAGGGAATCGACTCAGGTATGTTAAGGCTATCCCTTCTATATTTTGGCGTGATCCATACGATGCAAACGAAATGAGTAAATGCACAACTTCCATAAATGACTCTATTCGTAGAAATACTAGAGGTTCCTATGTTCTTGATTCCCCATGTGTTATATTATTCTATCATCTATTCATGGGTCTCAAAAAATATATAAGTTGATAAAGTTTATTTCATGATATTAATAAGAGGCATAATGGTCTTATGACGTACGAAAGATTTTATTAATGTACTTCTCATGCATTGCATTCATTTACATGTACATTGACCCATGACTAGATGGCGTTATGCATATATATGTATGTATATATGTATATGGGATATGGCAAAAGGTTACAGTGTTATATACGCACCACCACCTAATCAGCTGGTATACGTTGATGATTTTGCCCACAGTAGCCGAGATGATGTGATGGGATGCTCTCAAAGGCTTGGTGATGTTATGAACACATGTACCTATGCACGACATGATATTCATACACATATGCATGACACTATAAGTATTTCATGATTTAAAGAGTTATCCAGACTTACAGGTTGAGTCATTTACTCTATTTCTTCTATGTCTTTTATGTACTTATTTATATGCCTTACATACTCGATACATTATTCTTACTGACGTCCCTTTTGTCTGGGGTTGCTACATTTCATGGTCGCAGGTCCCGATAGACAGGTCAAGAGTCCTCCAAGTAGGCTATTGGCACAACGGAAGATGTTGGTGCGCTCCATTTGCTCCGCAGTTGCTTGTTTAGTCAGTGTGATTTCAACGCGTATTGTTTGGTATGGCGGGGCCCTCTCCCGACCT